CTAACAACATTTCCATAAGGAGGTTAGTATAATTTTGAAACCTTCACAATTTAAAGTATCTTTTTTAACTAATTTGATGGCCATTTATTTTTCACAAAGAAACAGCTTCTGTTCTTTCAAAAGAATTGCAATGCACACAGTGAGTGTTAAGAATAGGAACCCAGCATAGAGATTTAGGTGCTGGGGGTCACTAGACTCACACACTGGCTCAACCAACAACCTCTTGATATCCATGATTCTCATTTGGACCTCATTTGGAAAAGATTGTTTCCATTATTTTTTCTGGTTATAGGACTAGGGGTTAGCTCACAAATAGAGGAAACCACTAAGGAAAAATCTACCAAGCATTCATGTAGCTGGTGCCAAAAATCTGTGGATTATTTGAAAGCTAAGTGCATTCTTTATGTCCCTGAACCCTTGCTCACTTCTCACCCTCACCGGGCCTCTTCAGTCTTTCCTTCCTATAATCTGAAAAGGCTCTAGTGAAAACACATAGACTCTGCCTTCGGATCTGGTTTCAAGTCCTGTTTCTACCACTTTACTAAATGTGTTGTCTGTGATGGTTTGGATGTTTGTTCCTTCCAAACCTCATGTTGAAATATGATCCCTGCTGTTGGAGGTGGAGCCTAATGGGAGGTGTTTGGGTCATAGGGGTGGACCCATCGTGGATAGATTCATGCCCTTCCTGGAAGGGTGGGGAGTGAGTTCTCACTCTGTAAGTTCCTGTGAGAGCTGGTAGTTAAAAAGAGCCTGGCACTTCCTGCTCTCTCTCTGGCGTCACCATGTAACCTCTGCACACGCCAACTCCCTCTGCCTTCCACCATGAGTGCAAGCAACCTGAGGCCCTCACTAGAACCAGATGCTGACACTATGCCTTGAGTACAGCCTGTGGAACCATGAACCAGATAAACCTCTTTTCTTTATAAATTACCCAGCCTCAGGTCCTCCTTTATAGCAATACAAATGGACTAAGACATCATCTAAGACAAATAACTACCTTGAAGTTCAGTTTCCTCATCTGTAAAATGGGCAATGTAATGACTCCCCTAGAGGGATTGTTGTGAGGATTACATGTACAATAACTACTACATAGTAGCCACGTAATCAGTGCCCATTCCTTTTCTTTCTTCTTATTCACTACAAACTTATCCTTCCATTTCATGCCATTCAAAATGCAGAGTTTCAGGAACCCCAGTGCTGGCAATACTTAAGGAAGAAATAGACAGGCAGCTCACTGAGCACTTCTAACCATGATATACAGACTCTGATGCAGACTTGGATTTCTTTGGGGCTTTGGAGGAGTCTTTTCTCTGTTATTGTTAGGGATGTTCATTGGACAAACAAAGTAAGCACGATGAGATGAATTTAATACCTGTCAGGCCTCAGAACAAATGCCATTGATCTTGCTGATACTATATAAAAAGCAGGAAAGTGGATTTGGTTTGGTCCTATGGCAATTTATAAGCCTTTGGCCTCCCTAGTTAATTTTCACTAGGACAGACATTCTTTTGCCTGCTGGGAGGAGAAGTAGCTACTCACAAAAGCTGCCTGTGCTATGCCATTAGGAAAGGGACTCAGAAGGAGGGCATCTTACATGTGCAAAAACTGGAGGAGTAGCAAGGAAAGAGGGAGGCGGTGGGGATATAGTTGAACTTCATGTGAGCAGAGTTCAATACGTGGAAATCATAGGTCCTCTCTTGTCTCTAACTGTCCCTGCCATATATATAAAATTAAAGGGAGTTATTCATAGTTCAGAAGGAGGGTTTCCTACCTTTTAATGACCCCTAGAAATATCCTGCTTCCCAAATAGGTATACTGAATAATTTACACTCGGCTTAAGCCGTATTACCATCTTATAGGAGAACTTAGGAAGGCAAAAAGATGCTCTTGGAGTGTGTTGTTTTATGGCTATAGAATGGTGAATTTCACTCCCAACGACCAAAAATGGAAGGATTTGCTTTGAGGGGTGATGGTGATAACAGCAGCATGTTTTAACTCATTGGCAGGTTGGGTCTTCTTTTAAAATTTTGTCTGAGTCCGTGGAAAAGATCTCTGGCTAGGAGATCTTCCATAGCCCCTCCCATAGGAAGGGCTATGGAAGAGTCCCTATGGGCTTAATGTGTGGGATAAGAGGACCCAGCCAACAAGCTGAGAGAAGCAAGTTTTTCTTTTCATTCGGACAGTAGCTGTAGCTGCTGGTTGGTGTGAAAAAGTCTACCACAACTTTGGTCATCAGTTTTAATCTTGTTTGGAGCATCAAGGTATCTCATCTTCTATATCAGTTATCTATTGCTCTATACAACATTACCCAAAGTGTAGTGGTTATTATCTTGCAGTTTTTGTGGGACAGGGATTTGGGAACAGCTTATATATCGGTGATTCTGACTGAGGGTCTTTCATGAGGTTGCATTTAAGACATTGGCTAAGGTGACATCCTCTGAAGCTTGAGCAGGGCTGGAGAAATTCTTCCAAAGATGACTCACTTCCTGACATGGTTTTGGTTCCTCTCTGGCTATTGGCAGGCTGTTGCCACATGGACCTCTGAATAAGTTTGCTTGAGTTTTCTTACCATGTGGCAGCTGGTTTCCTCAAAAGCAAGTGATCCAAGATATAGCCAGGAGGAAGCCATAATGCTCTTTTGACCTGGGAGTCATATACCATCACTTTTGCCATATTCTATTTGATAGAAGTGAATCACTATGTCTAGCTCACTCTCAAGGAAAGGAGAATTAATCTTGACTTCTGGAAGGGATATGTACAAAGAATTAGACAAGATACTTTGAATCTCCATTTTGTCTTATTTCTATTCCTAATTATTCATATAAAAATCATAGTGCCGAACCTTTATTTTATTGCTGAAAATTTCCATTTTCACACCATGTATTATCAAAATTTGATGTTGAAATGGAACAAGATGAAATACAAATAAATGTGATTACAGACATTTATTAAATATGCAAAACCAAATGATATAAAGCTTTGTTTTGACTACTTTCCCTTTATGATTCTTCTTCTTGGGTTATACTGGGTAAAGCCCCTCTTCTACCTTGTGGATTTTCCTTGTAGACTTTTTTTCATTGCCCCAGGGACCTTGACTTTGCTTTCACATTTATGGTCATTCATTTAGAAAATATTTAGGAAATTTGCATGGCCAGTTCAATGAGGTTGTTCACTGCAAGTTTCTGAATTGCAAATAATGGGGGAAGTGCAGTTAGAGGAGCACCTCCTCCATCTTCTTTGTACTGGCCAGTCCCTGCTCTAAATGCAGAGCAGATCAAGTCAGTTAAGATGCGGCTAAACTTGACTGGCCAACTGACCAGTGTCTCACTGAGCATCAGTGTTGGCACTGGTTGTTTACTGGATGGTGAGAAAAGAAAAGAACTTTTATCTGAGGAGTGGGAGTCCTTTTAATTAACAGGCCCAGAGAGATATTAAAATGAGACAGCAATCACATCCTACTTCCCCCTTGAGCTACGTATTCTTCTCTTGAAACTGCTTGCTATTACTATAAGCTATAAATTAACCTCATAATGCCACACCAGACACTATTAACTACACCCTATTGCTTAACAATGTTTAGCCAATCACTAATCAATGTTATTTCTGTAAACCAGTGAGAATTCCTGACAAACAACTTTGTACCAACCCACTCCTTGTCCCCCGTTTTGCCTTTAAAAATCCACTTGTAACTGCTATTAATCAGAGTGTATATTCAAGACAACTTGATTCTGTGCTCCCGGGTTGCAATTTCAAGCTTGGCCCAAATACCTTTTTATTTATACTAATGTGGCCTCAGATTCTTCCTTTTAGGTCAACAATAGCTATAAATATGTTTTTGTTGTTTAGTAGAGGGGGTTTCAAGGCAAGTTGTCATAGTCCGGGCATTATCCATACAAAAAGTGGAGACTCTTAGCAGGCCACAGAGTACGGATGACATTCAAGTACACGAAGCTGGTTCTACCTGAAGCTTTCCCAAGTCCCCAGTCAGGTTCACTTATCCAATTATCCATCCATTTCACACACATTTATTAACCTTCTACTGTGGGTCAGGCATTATGCCAAAGCAAGAGATGACAAATAGTGAAACTGCCTTTGCAAAGATGATAACAGTGAGAACATTATGACAGTGAAAGTGATCTGACCTAACCAACTCCATCTTGCCTTTAACTTCTAAGCTGTCCTCGTTCATTCCTGAACATAGGCGGAACTATGTAAAACTGACACATTAGCCACAAAATTAGACATTATGGCTCAGGAGTCACGCAGTCAGAGGCCATAGGTTTGCTAACCTCCCCAATTGCTTTGATGGCTAACATTACTATTCTAAGACCTAAGATTGGTGTTTGAGATATTTTCCAGACCTTGCATTCTGATGCATCAGCTGGCACCACCCAGACTGGTAAAGTGGCTCATCTGGTCTTGTGGCTCCCACCTAGGAACTGGCTCAGTGCAAGAGGATGGCTTCAATCCCCTATCATTTTATCCCTGACCCAACCAATCAGTATTCCCCATTCCCTAGCCCCTGCCTGCCAAACTATCTTTAAAAAGACCTAGCCTCTGAATTTTCAAGGAGACTGATTTGAGTAATAATAAAACTCCAGTCTTCTATTTAGCTGGCTCTATGTGTATTAAACTCATTCTCTATTGCAAGTCCCTGTTTTGATAAATCAGCTCTATCTGGGCAGTGGGCAAGGAGAACCCATTGGGCAGTTATAATAGTTTCCAAGTAGGTGTTGAAAAGAACTGGGGTGAGGAAGAAGGGGCAGGGTATTTTTCCTGGCAAAGAGCCAGTCTCAGGGCTGATGTTCAGGGGGCAGTAGAGGGTGGTGACAAAGGAGAGGAAGGGACTCAGGACACTTTTCAAGGCTTTGGCACAGAGAGAAGGAAGAAGACAGAAGCCCTGTGGTAAGAACTGGGTGCAGGGTGGGACCAGCAGCCAGAGATTAGGGAGCCATTCAACTATCAGACTTGAGGCCAAATTAGCGGCAAGTGAGACTCACCTGCTGAGACCCTGAGGTGGGCCTAGAACCTCTTCCATCTCACAGGTCTCAGGATGGGCAGGACTGGAAGGTACGTTTCCAGGCAAGCATGACGTCAAGTTTTCTGAGCCAGGGGAGAGGAGAGCTGCAGAAACTGGCAATTCCTGCTGCACCCCAAACATCCCAGCATGGGGGATGGCTCTGCAAATGAGCAGAGAGAGCCAGGCAAGGGAGCTAGATGGGCCCAGGTAAGAGTCCCTGTCCATCCCTGACACCCACTACACAGGCCCCACTTCTCTGCCTCCTATGGCCAGAATGAAGCCCCCAGATGCACAGGCAGGGGAGACGCCCCCAAGAGCGGGCTCCAGGAGAGGTGCCCTGTCTTGGCAGATCCAGTGCCAAGGAGCACAAAGCCCCATTGAGGTGCAGGGGAGCTTTCTCTCCTCCCCTGCAGTAGGGCCCGGCTCCTTCTCCTTAGGGGGTTCATTTCAATGTTAATGAGACTAAGAAGGTGAAGAAAGTTGTTTTCTTCTAGAAATTCCATTTCACCCTTCCTTGCTCTCTGAGCATACCTCCCTGATTTAGATACACTGTGTTTAATTAAAACTGTGTTTGTTTTTCTTCCTCCTTTGCTCTCTCCACTTCCCTGTGCAGACCTCTTCCGGGGCTGTCTCTCCCTCCCAGCCCCACCAGGCCTTTGAGGAAAGCTTGGTTCGGAAATTTTCTTTCTCCGCCTTGCCAGCTGGGATGCAGAAAAAGGTATGCATTGGGAACCTTATGGAGAGTTGCATACACATGTGCCTCACTTGAGGTAAATGTGAGAGCTCAGGTATAAAAAATCTGGATGCATAAAAACTAATTATTGAGAAGAGGAGGGTTTCCCAATGCATGGGAGAATGCTGGGACAGGGAATTGGGGAGCAGTTCTTTTCGTTAGGGAAGTACTCTTCGCCATTTGATGGGGACTTAGAGGAAGTGTCCTTTATGCAGCCAGCTCCTCTACTGCATTTAAAATAGGGATTAATTCAACAAAATGAAGAATATACAGTTTCATGGAACATAGAGTCATAATAGGTACCATTTATGTGCCAGGTTTTGTGTAAGCACTTGAATGTATCCAGTGAAATTTTTACTGGAGCTTTGATTTATTTTATTAATAATGAAATAATTATATAAATATACATAAAAATAAATAATTTGATTTATTTTATTATTAATAAAATAAATGTATAAATATATAGAATCAATAAAATAAATAATAGTAAAATAAATTATTTTATTACAAATAAAATAAAATAAATTTATTAGATAAAATTCAAAAATTTAATAAAATAAATTATTTTATTAAAGGTAATGGCAAAATCGGCAATTACTTTTGCAGCATCCTAATACCTAGTTTACATAGGAAGAAATGACAGCTTAGTTTCTTGTCTAAGCACGTGGGGCTTATCAACAGCAGAACTGAAATCTGACTCCAGGTTTGTCCAATCACAAATCCCACATTTCCCACTATATCCAGAAAGGACCCTAAAGGTTGAGTCTGAGCAATTCAATCTGTTCTGATTTTTCAGAAGCCTACAACAGCCATAGGTGGGGATTGGATAGGAAATGCTGGCCGTGAGGTCTTTTGCATCAGGAAAGTCCAGATCTTCTGAGAGGAAGACGTGGGAGATAATGGGCTAATTGGAGGCTGTGCTTTGGTTTGACTCCCTCTCCTGGCCCACATCTGGCTGGTGGAGTTTCCAGGCCTGTACTCTTGGTGCTTAGGCCTACTGTCTTCCCATTTCTTTATGTTGACCTTCAAGTTTGCTGAGTAAAATGAGGCACACTTGTCATTAAATGCTTTCCATACATGGCATGCTCAGAGTGGAATGACCTAGTAGTCCTTGTCTGTTTCTTTCATTGGTGTTTATCCTCCAGTTCAGGGCTGTACAATAGAAATATAATGCAGGCCCCATGTGCAATTTTAAATTATTTAGGAGTCACATTATAAAAAAGTAAAAATAAAGAAGTGAAATTACTCTGAATAACAAATTTTATTTAACCTGATATATTTAAAATATAAGCAGTATGAAAAAAGTAATATAAAAATCAATGAGATATTTTACATTCTTTTTTTTTTTATTTTTGTGCATAGTATTCAAAATCCAGGGTGTATTTTCCACTTATCGCATGCCTCAATTCTGACTAGCCACATTGCAAATGCTCTCAGGTCACATGTGCCCAGCAGCTAAGCAATTCTGAAAGCACAGTAGCTGATCCAGTTACAGGTTCTTCCCCTTGGAGTGGATGTTTCTGACTCCTCTTGACTCAGAAGCAAAGAGCCGAAGGAGCAGACAGGTGTGTCCTCTTGAGCTACTCTCCACTTTCCCTGCTGGTCACCATGTATTCCTTGTAGCAAGCATCATGGGGCTGATCCCAACCTTCCCCAGCAAAGAGGAGCTGCAGGGGAGAGAATTTGGGTCTGTGTCAATGACTCATGGCCCTAAGTGTGGGAAGCACTTCCCAGGGGGACTGCAAACTGTGGCCCATGAAAAATGCGTCTCTTCCTGTTGTGCATTTCTGTTTAGACAAAGTTTGATGAAGTTTCTATAATCAGTAAAGGCAAGCTCGGCCCTAGGAAACCTGTGCAGCTGGTGAGGTTTGATTTTAGTGTTCCCATTTCCCCACTGAGTTTGATTCTCTCCTCTGTTCTCAAGGGGCCTAGGCCCCAGTCCAGTGGGAGGTCCAGCTCCACCATGCTTCGCCACCTGAGGAAATCGAACTGTCTTCTTTACAGCTGCTGTGCTCAGCTGGACACAGAATGTATGCAGAGCCTCCCACTGTTCTCATGTCCAGTTCTTCACTGAGTTTGGCTTGAGACTTCTGGGGAAACAGACCTTTGATAGGTGATGTGGCTTGGTTCTGTGTCCCCACCCAAATCTCATCTTGAATTGTAATCCCCACGTGCAGAGGGAGGGACCTGTAATCCCCACGTGTCAAAGGAGGGAGATGATTGGATCACAGGAGTGGTTTTCCCCATGCTGTTCTCATGATGGTGAGTGGCTCTCACGAGATCTGATGGTTTTAGAAGGAGTTCTTTCCCCTTCGCTTTCTGCTGAGTCTCCTACCACCATGTAAAACATAACTGCTTCCCTTTCTGTCATGATTTTAAGTTTCTTGAGGCCTTCCCAGCCATGCAGAACTGAGTCAATTAAACCTCTTTCCTTTATAAATTGCCCAGTCTTGAGTAGTATTTTTTTTTTTTTATTTTGAATATTTATTTACTTGGAGACAGGGTCTCACTCTGTCTCCCAGTCTGGAGTGCAGTGGTGCGATCTCAGCTCACTGCAACCTCTGCCTTCCAGGTTCAAGTGATTCTCGTGGCTTAGCCTCCTGTGTAGCTGGGATTACAGGCGCCTGCCACACTGCCTGGCTATTTTTTTTTAATTTTAGTAGAGATGGGGTTTTACCATGTTGGCCAGGCTGGTCTCAAACTCCTGACCTGAGGTGATCTGTCCGTCTCGGCCTCCCAAAATCCTGGGACTACAGGTGTGAGCCACTGCACCTGGTCCCATTGAGTAGTATCTTTACAGCAGTGTGAAAACAGACTAATACACTTGGTGTAGGAAGATGCGGGGAATGTGTACAGAACTGGCTGTAGACAGGGAAGGGATAGGTTGAAAAGATATCATGGCTTTTGGGGAGATGACAGTCATCTATTCAACCCTCTGAGCTTTCGTGTCTCTAACCTTGGACAACATAGGGGCAGTGCACCCCCACTTCTGAGACCTGCTGGCATCCTTGGACAGGAATTAAAGCCCTCAAGGTCAGATGTCTTCAGATTCAGCTGCTAGTCCTGCTCCAGTTTGCACACAGTCACAGGAGTCATTGTCCCCTTGTGATACTCTCGCTTGCTTCTGGTGTGGGTCCCTCTCTTATATTCTTGGTGCTTTCAAGGATTCATTTCTTGTTCCATAGAGATCTGGTGCCCTAAGCTTACGTCAAACTCTGCTTCAGATGAAAAGCTTAATTCTGGTCTTGCCTAGGTGTTGACAAAGGGAAGAGAATTCCACAGAATCAAAAGAAACAGCGGGTGTGTTTTACAAGTGCTAGGACATTTTAGACAGTTGGATAGGGTATGTTTTATATTGAAGGATGAGGAGAAAAAACTAAGTTCTTTCTATTTAATTGTTAGGCTACCTTGCAGAAGATGGCAATAGAAAGAGACTTTTCATTTCAGCTTTTGGGGCTGTTGCCCTAGGAGAAAGGTGCTTTTCCAGTCCCTAGTGGCATAGGTTACTCAGCCAGTATGCTTAGCAGAATTATATTAAATAGAAGTCAGGTGCTGGTGGTACCCAACATTATAACTTAGCTAAATGGTCATGGACTCAGCTTTGGAAGAATCCTTGCAACAGTCTTCATCATGGCCTGAACTTTACCCACTTCCTCTTTGCTGTGTGACTTAGGCCATCTCCTCCTGCATGCCTCCCATGCACACTTTGCTTCAGCCATATAAGCCCCCTCACTGTTTCTCAACACACCAGGCATGAATTCAGCTGAGAGCCCTTGCTCTTCCTGCACCCTTTCTCTGGAAACCGCATTCCCCCTCAACTTTCATAAAGCCCACTCCCTCACGTTCACATCTTTCTTCTAATGTCATCTTCCTAGTGAGGCTCTCCTGACCACAATCTCCTTCCTCTTTTCCAAGCCCTGCAATTCTCTATCCTCTTATCCTGTCTTATGATTATATGTCATTAGTGCATACATGTATTTGCTCATTACCTGTCCTTTCCACTAGAACGTAAGTTCAAAAAAGGATAGAGACTTTGTTTTGTTCATTACCATGGAAAACATAAGACAGTCTGTGACACACAAAAAATGAGAACTAAATGTTGAAGGGTAAGTATATGAATGAATCATCTGGTTTCACATTCCAACTGTCCGTGGCATCCTCAACAGATTCTGGCTTTTGCTCAAATATCTTTAGGAATGGTCAATTCAACATCTTTTGTTGGGTAGCTTCAATTGTTGTAAAAATCTGTGTGTGGAAGCATGGCATGGTAGAGAGAGCACCAGGTGCTTTCCAAAAAGGCAAATCAAACAAACAAACAACCACACGCATGGATGTCTGGACACAAGCCTGGGGAAAAAGCAGCAGGCTACGCCTGTCGCAATCCTGCCATCAATTCCCACAAGATGTCAGAGAATTCATTTCACCCCTCTGGCCTCAGCTTTCTCTTCTATAAAACAAGACTGTGTAGACATCTTAGAAGGAGAATCCCATGACTAAAGCAAAAGCATGTAGCGATGAAGGAATCTGATAGCAGTTCACACACTGCTGTGGTTTGAATGTTTGTCCCCTCCAAAAGTCATGTTGAAATTTAATTGCCATTGTGATGGAATTGGGAGGTGGAAGCTTTAAGAGGTATTTAGATCATGAGGGCTTCACTCTCATGAGTGAAATCATACTGTTATTG